TTTTTTTTTTTAAAGAAACTTGTCCCACTCTAGCCATTTTTCCTGTGTTATGGGTGCGTTTACAAACGTGTAATTTCACATACACGTCAGACCTAGACCTGGAACAACAATTATACTAAAATTTCTTTTTCTTTATACCTTTTTCTTTAAAAAAGAAACGTTGCTCCACACAAGAATTTTCTCCTGTGTCGTGGGTGCGTTTACAAACATACAATTCCACATACACATGCCACCCAGACCTGGAATAACAATTTGTGGATTACACAACGAGGTGTTCCGTGCAGGAATCGAACCCGCGACACGTTGCGCGGCAGCCAGTTGCCCAGCCACCGCGCCAACCGTGCAGACATATAACTCATAACATGTGAAATCTAAGACCACTAGACTGTTACTACTAAAATCAAATCCACTCCGATCTGCTGCTGCTGTTCCGGGCTTTGGCCGCATAACATTATTGAACGTACACAATGGTACAATGCAACCCCCACTGAATATCAGTCCCATTGGGCCCATTTGTGGTGGTCTATTGGCTCTTCGAGGCCGAACTTGAGGACGCCGTGACGTCTCTCGAACCTCAATTATGGGTTTCTGAGTTAATCATTAGACATCATGTTCTACATCATAGTATTGTATCTACAGTAGATCCTGGCTTACAGGAGTTTCAGCAGTTTTGAGAGGTGATGGCTAGCTTGCAAAAAAACAAAAAAATTAAAATAGGTTTTCTATCTATCAACTTTTGTGAAAACTTGTAGCTACTTTTCTATACAAACATACAGAAACCGTGCTTTCACACAAACATTTTTGAAATTATGTTATAAATATTGACATTGACATTGACTTTGACACGAAACGTCATATGTTATGTTATGACAAATTATTCAAAAATCCTTGAACTTCGTCCGAATGTTTTGAATATTGATAAAAAATAAATTTATCTTTTGCCTATCGTTATGAGTTATTGATATCCATTACATTATTTCTATTACTTGAGACATTTTTTCGCTTGACTGGCAACCCTGGCTACTATAATAGGTACCTTCTTTAGTATCCATTTTATTTCGGTTTTATAACATTGGTTACTGACGGACAGGGGTGGCTAATACTGAATATTGTCCATTTAAAAATAAAGTGATGTGTTTTCTATAGGTGAGTAGGCACTGATTCATAAATCGGTAAAAAAAACTGTAAAAAGTATAACAACTTCATCAAAAATTGACAAGACCTCTTTTGAAAACAAGCTTCCATACATGTCACGTTCAAAAATCGAACAATTTATAACGATCAAAATTGTTCAGCTATAAATTAAACTGACAGCGACCTTATACCATTGTGATAAGAGCTATAATTTTGAAAGTATTACCGTTTAATTATTGACAACCTTATGTATTTTGACATAAAGGTGGTTTTTCTTAGTCTTCTGATGTAAGGAAGTTAACCTGCCGGTCCAGATAATCAAGTTCGCCCTTCGTTTTAAATAACCTGTTTGTTATGCAGTTTTGTAACTGTATTTATTTAAAAAAAAAATGGTAACACTGAAAGTACAGAATCAAGCCGGTTCATATTGATGCTTTTTGAATTTATTAAACATACCGATTATATGCATTTATAATAAATGATGTTTTCATTGGTTCGGTGAAAGTTTGATTGCCAAGCAAGGGGTATGCAAGGGTTCAGATAAAGCTTAATTGTATACCGCGGTCCAGCTAAGAGCTGGAGAAAGAATAAAGCTGTATTCAGAGATATGTAAGAGAAAAACATTGTAAATTTATTTTTCATCAACATTCAGACACTTCCTCACACTACCAGGGCAGAAGAAGTCGTCAGTTGAATACTCTTTAAAAAAATAGAACTGCAAATATTTGCACTTATCAGATGGCGCCACTGACGAATATGGTCGTGTCAGAAAACATTCTAGATTTTTTATAAATAACTCTTAAATATCAACATTAAAATAAAGACTAAAGACCTACCTGTTCCATTCTTAACCGTAAACTGACAACGTAAAGGTTTTTGACTAATCTTGTTAATAGCCCAATTTTCTCTTTTAGAAAGAGAGAAGAGATTAAACACACATTGACACTCTCTTTTTCCTCCTGGCCTAGGGTCCTACCGACTCTATAGGAATTGTAGGCATAAAAATGATCCACGACCCACAGAAAACCGACGTGAAACAACCACAGCGTTGTGTTTCGCCGTGTGAGTGAGTTTACCGGACGCCTAATCCTTCCCCTTTCTTCCATCTTGAAATACATCCGAAACCCTTATCCCTAAAAGGCCGGCAACGCACTCGTAACTCCTTTGGTGTCCTTGAGCGGCGTTGATTGCTTACCATTAGGTAATCAGCCTGCTCGTTTCATATATTTAAAAAAAAATCACAACTTTAGTTCAAACTTCTGAATTTTACCTAGCAAGATATAAAATGCTAAGACTGGACTCATCTCCGACGATAGAGATATTCTTACCGCCATCCAACTGGTAACAAAACAAGATTGTCTAAAGAGATCAATGCACTCTTAATGGATGGACATTTCAATCTTAGTGTCAGTGATTCCTTTTTAATTATTCGCATAAATAAAATATATGTATATTTATTATATTTGAAGGTGATGTAACTCACATTGGTCATTGGTGGCATATTGATTCTTATTCCAATGTATTTTGTGATAGAAAGTAGAATGATGGAAAAATCTTCTTAATTTGTTTGTGAATTGCTTGTGTAATAGTAGTCTAATAAAGCTTTTAAATTATTTTTTATTATATTGCTATAACCTCTTTGCTTAGCAGTGTAAAAGATCTCAGTATAAAAGGTGTAATTTTATCAAAGAGCGCAGCTGCGGTTTTTTGGATGATTCTTTACATTAATATAACAAAAGTTAATCTTACTTCTTACTTATATTAGGTATAAATGCGAAAGTTATGATGTTTGGATGTTTGGATATCAAAATTTGCTGTACTCTTAACGCAAACCTGGAACCCTATAGGGTTTTTTAGAGGTGGCGTGAAACAACCACTGCATTGAGTTTAAATGAGGTTAAAGGAGGTCTAATTCTTCCCCTCCCCCAATCCCATAACCTCCAAATCCCTAATCCTAATAAGGTCGGCGACGCACTCGTATCTTCTCCGTTGTTGCATGCTGAGTGCTTACCATCAAGTAATCCGTCTGTTCGTTTGCCGACCTATCACATAAAAAAAGGTGGTAGAATCATAAAATTTCTGATTTCTCCCTTCCTTTAGCAGTTGGAGACTTGAGTAAAACCATCCCGCTTACTGCTCTGGGCTCCTATATGGTTCAAGCGTAATATTGTAAAAACCGCGGCTCTTAGAACCTACCCTAGAATGTCAAAAAACTCCCTCTTCCTACCTCCTGGCAAAAAATCTTTGAAAGATTTCCCAACCTACAAAAAAAAATTGCCTTCCTATCCCCTAAAAAAGGTTTTATTACAGTACATATGCAATACCATATTAACCTATCTTTTTGGTAAACGGATTCATTACTTAATTTAAGTATTTCCTAGTAGGTAAATAGGAAAGTATATTAATACATTTACTTATTACATAAACCCTACAGAACATCAAGAGTTCAAAGAGAAAATTGACGTTATAATGGAGAGATCCGGCTTTTTTCGTAATTCGTACGTGAACCGGGTCGAAGCAGAGCCAAGCCAGTATTTATTTAATTCGCGGTACTTATACTTTTTGGTGTTCAATGTCGTGGTGGCCCGGAGGTTAATAGGTTTCTCATGCATAGGGTAAGTTTTCGAAACCTGATATGTATCAGCCTATAAGAAGTGCCCACTGCTGAGCAAAGGCTTCTTATCACACGGATAACGTTTGAGCATTAACCACCACGCTTGCTTAAGACGGATTAACGAATTCAAACTTTTTATTAAGAATTGTAAGTCCAGGTTTTTCTGCGCTGTAAGTTATTTTCCTTCACCGTATGTCACTGGTGTCTAAATAATTACAGAACGTAGGTAGATATAACTCGAAAAAAGTCACATTGGTACTTGTCAGGTTTCGAACCCTCATGCAAGTGAAATAATCGTCTTTTTTTTATTTCACACACATTTTAATATCAAAACCTATCAAAAGTCGGTCCAGCCGTTCAAGAGATTTTGCGAGACTAAGGGCTGATTTTTCAATAGTCAGATAAATGTTATCTGAGGAATAAAATTGTTGCTGTCACTGTCTTATACAAACATTCTGACGCGACAGCATCATAATTATTCCGCAGGTAACTTTTAGATACCCATTGAAAAATCAACCCTAATGAGCAGATATTAATTGTATTTAATGTTTTTTTTTTGATACAAATAAATACATTCCTATATATGTATGTTCGTTGCAACATATACTCGCGGAAGTGCAACAGTATATACCACTCACGACAGGTACTCTGTAACCTGTTCCTAACAGTACATTCCCGGGTTCGATGCCCGGCCATACTTGTCACTTAGCACCGAAAACCACCAAACCAATTAGTGACTACTGGATTATAAAGATATCAATATGATATTTAATATTTATTGCTTTATTTTTATTGTGAAGTTTATTTATTTAAAGTTGTGGGGTTTATCTCTATAATAAAAACTAATAAAAACTTTTTATTTGGTCTGAGGGTTTTATTTAAACTTTTGTGGTTCCCTTTTTTATTTATTTTGTAAGGGGAAAATCATCAATCAAATTAGTTCTCCCGCCAAGGGTCGGGGTCGAGGGAGTGTCAGACTCTTACTGACTACAAACTCCCCCTGTTCCTTCTCCTGCTCTGGGCCGAGGCCGCGGTGCCTCATTGCGCTTACCCCACAACCCCGGCTAACATAAATAATATGTCTTTACCTATGAAATTGTGCATGAAAAAAATTAAACGAATATTTTGATTTGAAATCCGATGAAAATGTGTCACTAATCAATAAACAAATGACTACTTTTGGAAAAAGAATCCCATGTTTTTAAAACAAAATTAATAAGCCTTAACCTAACAAAAACTATTTTGATTTGAAATGGCCAGTACTGCAGAACGGCAATTTGGCTACTTCCCATTTCGTAAACCTCAAACTGTACCTACTAAAAAGTTGCGTTTGGTAAACATTTCGTTACTTCATACATTTAATCCCATTTGGTAAACTTTGTTAGTATTGTTATTTTTGTACGGTACAGTCAGTGTCAAATTAGTATTAAATTAGAGATGTATATATTTTTAAATGCTTCAGTCTTGAGATAGTATCTCGACCATCAAAAAGAATGGCTGATCAAGAAGAAGTAAAAAAAACGTATTAAAGTCTGTAAAAATACCACGATGCTACTAAAAATACCACGTGCTTTTCCCGCAAAAGAAGCAACGAGCGGGTTCTCAGGTAGGGGTATCTGTGATTACTCATTATTGTTTTTATATTTTATAGTTGATTTAGTATGTATTTTTTTACGTTAACGTACCAAATCAGTGACTGTTTATTTTTATATTTTATAAGTAGTTGATTTCGTATGTATTTTTTTATGTTAATGTACATTAACATAAAAAGATAGTACCAAATCTGTGATTATTGTTTTTTTATATAAGTTGATTTCGCATCTAGATTGACTTATATTATTAAAAAAATAAAACTTGTCATCGAAATAGTCAAATCGAACTGTGATTTTTCTTAAATTTTTTGAAAGTTATTTGTACACCCCACTTTTTATTTCTGTTTTTAAATATCAATATGTGTAAATGGCATACGTACACATAATCCGACTATTGTTCCTGTGATTAAAAATATTTAACAAAATAAATGACAATGTTATCATTAGTTTCGTTTTTCTTTTTTTACTTGACTGTACCCATTTCATCTGAAAGTTTACCAAATGGGATATAACACAAAAGAATATTGAAATGTTTTCGAAATGGGACTAAATGTATGAAATGTATAATGTTTACCAAACGCAACTTTTTAGTAGGTACAGTTTGAGGTTTACGAAATGGGAAGTTTACCAAATGGGAAGTAGCCGGCAATTTCATAGGTAAAGACCTCTATTATGTCATAGTTTTTTACCTTGTTTCAAATTGTCTGAATTAATAGTAGGTATACATAATTGTATAACCCGCGGTACTTCACTACGTCTAGCTGTCATCAAAAACATGGTCGTTTTGAAATGTGGCGGGTCGACTATTGGCTATGTGCAAAGCGAGTAATGGCGGACAAATAACGACCGCAGCGCACAACACGGCAGAAATTGGAAACAAAATGCGGATGATCAGCTATCGGTTTTTATTATTACATATATTCATTTTACAGTAAAACTATTGAATAAATTGCACTTAAATAATGTCAACAATAATATTTTAATCTTTGATTTTACTTATATTTGCAAAGAAAAATTATAATGTTTACATTGTTCCTATTTGACAGCTTCCGCAAATGTTGTAAACGCTACGCGTCGCCACCGTCGCGCACATAGCCAATATTAGTATGCACATGTACTAAATAAATTCGAATAAGTATAGAACGTTATTTATATGAACTCCGTTCCACATAAGTTTTATAAGAAAAATATCTTTTCGGGAAAAAGTAACTTTAATTCCATGAAGCTTAGGTTAATTTTTGTTTTTTCAACGTTTCAGTTCGATGAATTCGTGAGATCGCTGCAGGTGGACCCTCACTCACCTCTCTTCAGGCTAGTAACAGATGGACAACCACCCTTGAGGTAAGTTAAAACATATCCTTATTGTCATTACATTAGGATTTATTTTCCCTTGACAAAATTTACGAACATGTTAGTATTTGATTCAGGAAAAAAGCATTATGAACCAAATTGTCGTAGTCATAGGTTTCAAATTAATTAGTTAAACTTGACGGTGAGACATAGTTAGTCTTTTTCCAAAGTTTATACGTGGACCGTTACGCCACGAAGGTTGCAGATTGATCCTTGTCTTTAGCTAGATAATAAAAAAAAAACTTCGTAAGCGCCTTTGCCGGCTAGAGCCGACCTGTTCACTGTCATCACTACATAGGTAGTATAAAACAAAGTCACTTTCTCTGTCCCTATGTACGTTTAAATCTTTAAAACTGCGAAACGAATTTTGATTCGGTTGTTTATAGATAGTGATTAGAGAGGAAGGAAGAAAGATTATATCCAAACTAATATTAGAAATGCGAAAGTATCTCTGTCTGTCTGTCTGTCTTTTCTTAACACCTAAACTACGGAACCGATTTCTGTGAAATTCGGTACAGACATAGTTTGAAACTCGAGAAAGGACATAGGACAGTTTTTATAAAGTCACTATTCCACGCGAACGAAGTCGTGGGCAAAAGCTAGTGTATAATAACATCCATTGAATAGTGGAGAAAAATAGTATCAGTATTGCACCAGAGCAAAATTGGGACGGGTCGCCACTAGAAAATAAAAAAAATGCATATTATTGACGATTTTGTGGATATGTACCTATATGTCACCGGAAAATAACAAGATCCGTAAGTTTATAAATTTACTAGGCAGTTTATAAACTTTCGTAAGATTCTAAACGGGAGATAAATTGTAATATTTTACGTCCACATTTTCGTAAATTGATAAACTTACTGAACTCACTCGTAAAATAATAAGTAAGCAGTAACCAAACGCTACGCGCGATCTGATTGGTTGGCTGTCACGTGTCACTTCTCCTTCCTCGCGGCCGCCATTGCTGGCCACGGAACTGTATTTTAGCAAGTAACTGTTAAATAGCTTATTGAAACTGATTATAGAAAACTCAACTCACTACATCCGTGCAAGAGAGGAACCAGGCATTGTTGCTTCCAATTTATAGTTTGTCAAGTCTGACTATTCCAATGTCTATGGACACAAGCATTGCCACTATGAACATGGACCAATCAAAGAGCAGTGTGTTATTTTACGTATTTCAAAGATCGTATATTTAAAAGAGTTTCTGTGATTGGTCGAACCATATAAAATCTTACGAATAGATATTCGTTAGTTTATAAATTTACCGTATGACGTCGGAAATTGATAAATTTACGAAAATGTGGACGTAAAATATTACAATTTATCTCCCGTTTAGAATCTTACGAAAGTTTATCAACTGCCTAGTAAATTTATAAACTTTCGGATCTTGTTATTTTCCGGTGACATACATATCTATTTACATATACACAAGTACCTACATAAACAAACACAAAACATAAAAGTCAAACCAAAATAGAGTCACATAAAAAACGTCTCTATGCATATGTAAATACAATACAAAATCAAAATAAACTGCATAAAGTACAGACATAACAAAAAAATTACCTACATTAAGACCCAAAGAAGACTGGGTCAAGTCGGGTCTAAAGAAAAAACTACAAGAGCCCAAACCCCGATGCCAATCTGTGCACATCCGGTAAACATAACAACTGTTTTTTAAATACCGTTTCCATTGCATACTGTCATCCGTCAAGGGATTTTCGAAATATGATGGATTACTATTCATCCGTACTGGTCACAACGGGGAAGTGTTGAATTCTGGCAATAAATTAAGTTAGTTTTCATTATTATTTTCAATAAATATAGTAAACCATGCTGACGAGCGTTCTTAATAAAACTTTAAACAATCCATTCCTCACTAAATTTCCATAATTAAAATTAAAACTTAAGCATTCATGTGGCTATAGGAATAATGATTTCCTATATCGATCGCCGAATTACCTTGATGTTTTTCTTTTATAGATAGAGCGGTTAATTTTAATAGATAAAGTAATTGAAGACGAAGGTTTAAATGTGTTATAACATCCATAAAATATTAAAGAGGTATCAGCATTGCATCCGTATAAAGCCGGGACGGGTAGTTACGTAGTTTCTCATAAAAAAACATTTATAATCCTATTTTATTTAATAAAACATTACTGTGTTAACGTATCGTCCGAACAAACGGACAATGTACACAAGCCCAAAGCATTCATCCGTAATTTCGTTTCGAAAAACAACAGTAAAATGGATGACACAGTTCAAAGGTCAAAATCAAAACGCCATCAGCATTATTTTACCTAGATTATAATCTATAATGTCAATCGTCATCGCCATTGTAAAGGTTGCATAGAAATAAAGGTATTACACCGAGTTTTTGCTGATCTGCATTGATTTTTATCGTTTGGAGACCTTTTCTATAGATTCTAATGTTTCCTGACATTTTTCTTTGAATAGGAATTAATAGGATAAGGAATCTCTTTCGTGTAGGGAATATGGAGTGTTTCGTTCGTTGAAACTACTTGATGACCTGGTCTGATATCCTTTTGTAACTTCTTTTCTGTGATTGTGATGTTATTGTTGTTTTTATTATTATTATGTATTGTACTGACAGAAGAATTAATGAAATAAACTTAAGTAAATATATAAAGGACATGGCCAACTTTTGTATGGGCGTTTGCATAGTTATTGAATTCAATGTACATCAATGATTTTTGGTGTTTACATTCGTGAATATTATTAAATTAAATTGCAATAAATAAAACACATGAAGAACTCGTAATTATAACAAACAAGACGAAAATTGTTTCACTAAACCTTTAGTCAGATTACTGGCCATAAGTGCACGAAATAAGATTTTGCTTTTAAAACCATGGCGTTTTAATTATTTTTTTATTTATTTATAAAATAAAACAAAAGCATATGTATAAAGAATAATGATTTATTTATTAAGGAGAACAAATAAAATAAAACTACGTAATAATTCACTTTTATATTTTTATTATAAAGTGTATTTTATTATGTTTGTGTATGGAATGTACGTTTCTGTAATATATATTTTGTATAATTGGGTAATAATATGGTAGTACTTTCCATTTGAAGCGGCCTGCTTAAAACAGGTGGTAATGGTGGTGGCTCTGGTGGGCTAACCACTTGAATATAAGGGGCTGCTGCATTGTTGTCCGAACCCAATTCCTGCAAGTTTCGTGATAAGTCCTGCACTGTTTGTCTATTTGCCCGCATACAGCACACATGACAAACATAGTTGCTTCTTGAGGTCTGAAAATAAACCCCAGTTAGAATAAACACATGTTTTCAAGTTTTATGTTATTGTACAGTGAGAAGTATTATGTTACAACATGCCTACTTTAAAGACGTCTATGCAAACATGGAAAATACATAAAGATAGATATTATAATCACACATACCTACTATGAGTACTTTTTTTATAGATTTAACCGCTAGTCTGCCGTTATATGAGACACAATAGAAAACACATTGTGTCTCGCGTATATCTGCGCTCCGGCCTACCACGGGTTAATATAGATAAATACAAGTACATATATAAAACAATGAATAAAAAACAAAATGCTTACCACATTAATAGTATTTTGTGATATTAGGCCAGCTAGCAATGGAGAGTCCATACTGACATTATGGTGTCTTATTTTTCGAACCGATTTTCCACAACCAAGGCAAGCCATGTTATGCCCCAGTAGTCTCTCATGTTCACCAGCCTCAGTATTCAATAATAAGAAGCGTGGTTGACAAATGAATGTCCCCAGAGGCAACTAAAACAAAGATGCACTATTTAAAATCGCATACCATTATAAAACATAAAAAAACAGACTAAGTATTATACTATTCCGACTTCATACCTGGTTTTGTTTGATGGTGTGCAGAAAGCGAGGATATAAGACGCCTCTCCAGCCTTTGTACGCCTATTCCTCAATTGATGCACCTCATCGTAATCCACAAAACAAATCCAAAACGCAAAACAGTTACAAAGAGTATGTAACCACTACGTTTAAGAGACGGGACTCCCATACAAGCCAGTGGAATCAATTTACACGGCACTCTATTACCTACATTGCAATAAATAAAAGATGTCAGCCGTCAAAATCAATAGTACCAACCTAAAAGACCAAATAGTTCTGTGGTAGCTGTATACTAGGTTTAGTATCGATATCGATAATATTTATAGGGTAGAAATCGAGGTCATATTACTTTTTTAATTTTTAGTTTCGATCTTTAAGATAAAGTTCGGATTTGAAATAAAACATTGTGTTATATTAAAAACTAAAAAATATATTTTTGTAATAATATTCAAATTCATGTTATATACGGACGGTGTGTTAAGGACCTAACTAAAATTATTTAAATTAAGTGGACTCTAATACTTAGTACATATATTGTTTCAGTAAATTGGTTCTATGGGCACATACACTAAATCTTCTTTGCCAACAACTTTCACCCACTGCCGGCACCTGAAAAATGGAAAAAATCAAAATGGACAGTCCCTGACACTAATAACTCTAAATTGTGCAAACAGCTGGCGTTCCTTATATAATAAATGCATAAATTTTACGAATACAGTATAGGTACATAAATTTTTATCTACGTTTAATCATTAATTTCTTAAAATCTACTGGGTTTGTCGTGTCACAACTTTGTTCAACAACATCTAATAACATCATTACTTCTTTGGTGTGGTCTGGAAAGTAAATCACGAAAGAATAAATAAATCAAGGGATCTTTGGAGTTTAGCCCACACATAAGTCTGTGACTATCGATACTTGAGGTACATCACTAGTACACAATAAGTACATGAAAATCAATTTACATGTATTTGTAGCCTTTTATACTTAGAATTAAATAAAATTATATCATTTAATGCTTACCGGTCCTCATCCAAAGGAAATTTCGCCATAAACATCCTTTTCTCGCCATTTTTACGACCGGATCGTCCTCCGCAGATTTCACAAGTTAGAAACCGTTTTTTTGGTGGCATTTTACTTGAACACGTAACTAGTCACAGCCGTATCACTAACCACTAATTAACTAAACAAATTATACGTAAATTTATGAAATTATGAAAATAACAACATAAACTTACAAAAGCAACGACATTCAAAGTTCAAAACTTCAAACATAATGGCCGACGGATTAGTGAAAGAAAGAGAACTGTACTGAGGGAGTGGGATGGCAATATCCGGCTACTTCCGTGTGCCATTATTTGCCGTGCCAAGCCCATACATTTTTATTTTTCTTCTAAGTTGCGCTAGGCTGAACAGTTACTCCAGTATTATTAGCAAGGTTATCAAAAACACGCTGTCAAAAGTGTCAAACACGTTCCGTTTCGTTTAAGTTTTTTTTGGTGAATTGGATAAAAATTCAACATAATATTATTATAATATGAGTATATTTTAAAATGCAACTAAAACCAATGAATACAATTTCGTATGAATAAAATGTTCCTAGTGTAATGTATTTGTCGATCATATCACACGTTTTCTACGTGTGTAGTTTAAGACACGTGGTTTGGAATTGGAACGTCTTTTTATTTATCTTTCTCTATGGACTATTATGGCGAAACTTGACAAACGATAAGTTGATTTTGTTGCTTTACTTTTACATTTTTTTAATAATAATTGTCAGGTCTGGAGAGGCTAAAAACTACGTAATAATTCATATTTCTATTTGTATTTTACAGTGTATTAATTTTGTTCGTGTTCGTGGAATGTACTTTTTTGGCCATGTCCTTTAACTGAAATGATAATGGACAGAATTAATGGAATATAGGTATATACCTAATAATTTTATCGCTGTAGTATGATAGTACTAGCTTCCGCACGCGGTTTCGCCTGCTTGGTATGATGATAAAAAGTAGCCTATGTCCTGTTCCGGTGTGCATTCTATGCCTGCGCCAAACTTCATCCAGATCCGTCCCGCCGTTTTGGTGTGAAAGTAACAAACATCGTAACTTTCGCATTTATACTATGTATTAGTAAGATGCAAATGTAATAATCTAAACCGGACCCGGCCTGGAGCATGAGAAAGAACGGTGTGTTTTTTAGACAGTAAAAGTCTGACACTATTTGCGAGAAGTTTAAGAATTTGGAGACGTCATTTTCGTCCCCAAAAAGATAACAAATAATTTTTTCTTATCAATAAAGTATTTTTATATTTTCTCCTCATTCCAGACAATGTCTCCATCCCGAAGCGTGCAGCAAGGACCTCACATTACCGACGTATTACGCGCGTTTCCACGACATTCGCAAGGAGTATGTACGCGCGTATACGCTGCGTGCTGTCAACGGGGCGCGAGCGGTCCCACCGCCGCCGCCGCCGCCCGACCATCCTGGATCACTGTTAGATATGCTCAACTGTATCCTTTAAAAAATAACAACATAGTGAACAATTTTGGGGTTAGGAGGTCCTGCACACGGGAATTAAATTACACTAGTAGTACGAATAGAAATCGTATATATATTCACTGGCAAGCTTCACATATAAAAGTAACTACCCACGACTTAATTATTATATTTTTACAATAACCCACATTGAGTACAATATTTACTACGAATATATTACACTTTATTTACTGTTTTAAGTTTGATAAAGTGGCTAGGAGACCGGTTGTTGCGCGAAGTATCACTAGTTTATAACTAGTATTTTTTACATTGGAAATACGGTAGAAATAGGTAGTCAATTGCAAGCATTCTTTCTTCAAAATGTACTTAATTAAGTTCTTAGACGTTGTCTGTTCCTATACGGTAGCAAGTTTCATTGATACCGGTTCAGTAGTTTTTATTGATTTTTCATGATATTGATTTTTCCAGTTACCTAATGTTATTCGAAAACAAATTAATTTGGGTCACTTAGAATCTTTCAACTGAGGCTGACATGAGCATTGAAAGACTTCAATTAGCTAGTCAATCTGTTATTATTAATTATTTTTTTATTAATATCTCAACTTCCATCTCGTCAAAGAATTAATGGATTGTGGAAAATTGCCGACCTACAAATAACTGGTGTTTATCTCGTCAAGTTAATGCTGGACAACTATTTTCCTTGATGTTAACAGATTACAGTTGAAGTGCTACAACCTATAATTAAAGCTGTTCAGTATTTTTTCTCATCTCATAATTAAAACTGACAGAATAATCTAGGACAAAAATTTAAAAGATTTTTTTCATAGCAATTTGAAAACGTGTGAGTTGCTAAAAAGAAAATAGTAGGCGCTGATTGCAAAACTAATTGATTTATCACGTTCATTTTGTTATTTATTGTTTATTTATGTTTTTTAGGAATCATTTTGTTTTAATTTTATTCGATAAGCTGATAAATTTAAGAATTTTATTAAGTATTGATAGAAATTTTAAAATAATGGGGATCATTACTCACTTAATATCTATAATCTTAAAAAAAATATAAAATCATCCCCTGGTCCTTATATTATTAATATTTTATGAATAACTATATGTATAACAATAATACTTTAACAAAAACTGTACAGATTTAGGAATAAGCCCATACAGCGGTGACAATTTCTACGCGGCCGAAGTAAAAGATATGGCCAGCATTATACAGAGGATAATAACAGATGGTAAGGATATATCTACTGCTTCTAAATAATCATTTATCCATTAAAAGTAACGCCATAGTCACGTCAATTTACTGAGATAAGATTTTTCTAGTTTTAAGTCACTATTAAAAAGTAGCGTGTGTAGACAACACACAATTTGCAAATTAAAAAATTCATGAATGTTTTAATTTGCAAACTTTTGAAATTTTTTGGTTTTGTTGAGTAAATAAATAAAGTGCAAGTATAACAAAATGATGTGGTTTCCAACTAAACAAATTCAATAATTTTATTAAAAAGCCAATAACGATAATTTTGTATGAAATCGCCACATAACTTTATGACGTAATGTTTTACGTCGAATTGCATAGCTTTTGCATAAAAAATTGCTAATGAAAATACATATTATTTAATTTTATAGAAAAAAGGAAATGATTTATTTTTAAACCAAAGCAACTAACAGACAGCTTACTAGGTACCTACATGTATTTTAAAAATGTTTATGTTTCATTATTAGTAATTATTTTTTAATGTATGTTCCAGGTTTCCGGTTAGAGTTGCCCGAGACTGTGGATTTAGTTTTAGAAACTGGTATTTGGTAAGTCTTACTTTAATTATTTGATACTGAGATCTCAATTTATGACTTGCTATATGAATTAGTTTTAAACACCCTGTTGAAAAACATCCATTTTGGAGGTACCTTTGAAAAAACTGACGGCAATATGTTGCAATTAGACAATTTATGCTTATGCGGTTTTGCGTGACAGGCGTTCATAATTATATATTTAGGTATTAGGAGACGATTTGTAATCTAATTTGAATGATACCTTCTATTCAGAAAATTTTGACGAACACAAGAATACATTGTGGATTTTATAAAGAAAAGAAGAAAAATCGAAGCGTGTCACCGCTAGAATTTTCGTCAGAATGCTTGGTAGAATGGTCTCGTTAATTTTCTGCAATAAAAAACCACAAGAACGCTGTTTTATCAACACATAGGCTCAAAATTTCGGTACCTATCTAAAAATGCAAATAATAATAGATATCTAAAAAAAGGGCCAGCCCTAGGGGCAGGAAACACACCCGGTGCCATCACTTTTGAGGCGCGACGAAACAAGAAACAAAAGACAATTCACGGCTTTTTTTAATGTAAAATAGGCTCAAAGTTAACAATAAAATCGTCGTAAAATGATCTGTCAGTGTATCTCGATCGTGATACCAGAATGCAAGATATAAAGTTCATTCGTTATCGGTTCTCCTTTCGTCCTCCAAACTTGTTGATATGCGGCACAATTAATAATATTATTATACTAAATGATGCGCTGGGGAACGGCTGATCGCTTCTGTATTGATTATCTTCCGACCTATCCTATCTTGAAGGTCGAATCGAGTGTGCATTTGTTGAAAATAATGATTTCGCGCAGCCTACTCGGCGATGTCGCCGCGACGCGCACTCTGCTCATGTCACGAACCAGGGTCCCGTTCTGAATTAAAAATTAGTAGTTTTTCTCAGTTCACTTCCACGGAGCCCTCGTATCACACAGAGATGGTATGAGTATTAATCACCAAGTTGCTCAAGGCGTATTCGGACTTATAAAATTAATGTGTTCTCACTGTGTTTCTTCGACGAAGACGAAATTACATACTTTAAAAATATAAGAAGCCAGAAGAAGAAGATGGTTGCTTACCAGGATTCGAGCGTTTGGCATGAGAAGGGCCTTTTTATCTATTATCCCCTTTGACCCAGTTATGATAATATGATTGTCATTTTATAATAGATTGCAGACATTGTGCACAATTTCTGATTCTCTTTAAGGACCAAAGCGGCAGCCCTAATATAAAATAAGTTTGTGAGTTTATTAATTTACTCAAATATTTTTTTAAAGAGTAACAATTGTGTTTCTTTGTCTTTCTTCTGCATTCGAATCTACAATTTGGAACAAGCACCTAGCTTCATCAGACTGGGAGAATATATTCTATTTTGACGTTTCAATACTATCTGTTTATGATTTAGTTGGAATAAATAAGTTTGACTTGACTTTGAACTTTGAGTTAATAGCATAAAGTAGGTATAACTTTGTAAGAATTTGGTCATTTCACCTGCAGGCAATCACGAGCATACAAGATAGTGAATCACGCAGACTGCATGAGTCAAATTAAAACGTGACTCGAGATAATTTCCTTTTATCCAAAGCTACCGAAACTTCCTAATGATTGGGGTTACAGAAATAAGAAGATATTGGGAACTTCTGTGGAATAAATGTGTGGGAGAACCATGCTTCGGTACGAATGGGCTGTCTCGACCGGAGTGATACCACGGCCTCACAGTAAACCGGCGGGAAATAACGCTTACGTTGTGTTTTGCCGTGTGAGTGAGGTTACCGAAGTCCCAATTCCTCCCCCATACTCAATCCTAAATCTTTCCTTAAATCCCTAATAACCCACAAGGCGGCAACGCACATGTAGTAACTCCTTTGGTACTAGTCTCCATGGGCGGCGCTGATTGCTTACCATCAAGTAATCCATCTGATCGTTAGCCGATTTATGACATAAAAAAGAATAGGTGTAGGTACTATTATTTTAATTCTATCAAGCAGATATAGGATTTTAAGTCAAGTACCTAACGTCGACTGTTGTCGTTAATTCATAACTATATTTCTACACGGAAATAGTCACAGAGGTCTTAAGTTTAAGAAGTAATAAATCAATCTGATCCTATCCGGTTTGTAGTGAAACATTATAATTTTAATTATGTCAACCCTCCGTTTATGATGTGCAGAGAAGTGTTAACTTATGAGGTTATCTAGGGGCTTTGGTGTTAGATAAATGAAAGATCAAGCCGTTTTAATACTAACACTAGTTCTTGGTGTAACTAAGACTTTGCCTGGGTTTCGGATTAGAAGAAAATCTATCCTCTTTTTTAAGCAGCCTATACTTACGTGTCGCGAGGACCACCACGGAGGTTAGCTGCTTGCTTCTCATACATGAAGCTTTGAAATGGCATGACTGCACGGTTGGTGCGGTGGCTGGGCAACTGGCTGCTGTGCAACGTGTCGCGGGTTCGATTCCCGCACGGAACAACTCTTTGTGTGATCCACAAATTGTTGTTCCGGGTCTGGGTATCATGTGTACGTGAAATTGTATGTTTGTAACCGCACCCACGACACAGGAGAAAATCCTAATGTGGAGCAACGTTTTTTCAAAAAGAAAAAAAACCAATGTGATGCGCAATTACGGCATAAATACTTGCTAAATATACATATTTCTTTAAAAACGTCATAGACATAAACAATTACTAAGTACACATTTTAGATATCTCTAGAAATGCAGAGCACCTAGATTATAACACACTTTTAACTTATCAATTAGAAATGAGATATAAATCAGAATGTACCTAATATGTAATAATTTATTTACTTTATATTTATTTACTTTACATAGGTAGTTGGATTATCAGATAAGGGGCTAGTCAACAGAAATTATGTCGTCGATTGAGCAAGAATGAACAAGGAAAAGTTTGTGATTTCTTTAGGTACGATTAAAATGTAATAATCTATCTGTGGTTTGTTGATTACGTGTAGCTAATCTACCGAATACATTGACAAACATGTTGTACACCTACTATAAGTATTACATCATTAAAATACCTTCAAAAATGTTCAATCAGCCAAACTATTTGTCATATTTTTGGACTATCCCACCGCTACTCGCGCGCGCAACTTCTCAAAACCGCTATCGCAAACTCCTGTAAGCCAAGATCTAGAGTAGATACAACCGTGAAAACAATGAAGTTAAGCCACGTCCTTGAGGTATTGTAAATAATTTCTCGAATTCAGAAGATATTATTTGAGGAGAAGACATACGAAATAGTTTCTTAATGCAGGAGTTAATGCAGGAGACAGAATGGTATGCAGGGAACATTATAAAGAGACTAATACATATTTTAGTTGAGAATTTAATTGAAATAACAGGGGCATTTCAAAGTGTGTAAAGACAAACATAAAATATACAGTTGTTGGAATATAAAAACAATTTTATATCTATTAGGTTTAGAAAAAAATACGGTAAGTCACCATTTTTTAAATAATTGACGAAAAATTTTCGAAACCGATTAATTTTTTAGAGTACAATTCTGTGGTACTTTCTTAATACAACGAGTATTTTATATATTTGAAGAGAAAGAGGCCTCGGAACGTCAACTCAACGCTTGCACCCACAACCCCGGCTGAAAACAAAACCTATATTTCCCCAATCTAAAGTGATCTGATCACAAATCATCAAACGCGCGGATGGCCCAAGCCATTAACACACTTCAAGCAAAAACCACCATGATAATACTATATCCCTGTGCTATATCCATTATAATAACAAAACATACACAAGAAGTAATTCTTTATTCTTAAACCCATTCAGTAATTCCTACAGGATGATCTCATGTGGGTCACACTGGTAAGAATATCACCTATATTTTCTTAGTTTAAAGAATGGATTTGTATTTCAGCGTAAAGGTCTATTGTTTATTGTATTTTTTTTGCTTCCGGCCGCGGCTTCTCCCGCGTTGTAGATAAAAAGTAGCCTGTGTTAATCGAAGGTATCACCTATCTATACACCTAATTTTAACTAAACTGGTCCATCCGTTTTTGCGTTTAAGAATAACAAACATACCTACATCCATACATTCTTACAAACTTTCACATCTATACTTCTATACAAATATTATAAAGACGTAACATTTGTAAGTTTGTAGGTATATATGTAGGGAATAATCTTTGGAACTGCTGTTCGGATTTCCAAAATTCTTTCACTGATAGACAGTTACAATATTTCTGAGTGCTATAGGCTATAAAACATCACGTCACGCTATGATTAAATGGAGCCCAGCAGCGGGTGAAACCGCGCGAGAGTAGTTAGTTTATAATATTTGTAGGATTTAATGCAATACGAATTGCGATTTACAGTAGGTAATACATTTTTATTAAAAAAAAACCTTATGTTTATTTTTATCTGTTTCCTGTCGAGTTTCCGTGTTCTAAATTTGGTATAAATTCAAAATTTGACCACCTTCGATTCTATAATTGAAAATTTTTCTACAGACTGTTCTAAAGATCGTTTAAAATTGACTTTTTTTCTTATAGTAGGTTCCTAAATCAATGCCTGGGTTGCGAATGTACCCGGTAAGAGACGGAACGGGGGCTTAGTCAGTAAGAGTTTGACACTCTTAAAAGTCATTTGATGAACTTCCCCCCACAAAAAGAAGTTCCTACATAAATAGAAGCATATTAACTTGCATAACCAAGAAAGTCTTTTTTTATGTAATAGGTCGGCAAACGAGCAGACGTATTACCTGATGGTAAGCAATCAGCGCCGCCCATGGACACTCGCAACAGAGGAGTTGCGAGTGCGTTGCCGACCTTTTAGGGATTAGGGATTTGGAGATTTAGGGATTGGGGAAGGGGAAGGATTGGGCCTCCGGTAACCTCACTCACACGGCGAAACACAACGCAGTGGTTATTTCACGCCGATTTCCTGTGAGGCCGTGGTATCACTCCGGTCGAGCCGATCCATTCGTGCCGAAGCATGGCTCTCCCACACTTCTAGTCTAGATGACGAAGACTGCAAAAAATTGATTAGTTGTCCAAAAATCACAGTCACATTGTAAAGAAAATAAGTCCATCTATAAAAAAAACAACCCAATATTCGATATAAAAACAAAACTAGTTCGATAGGTACTTCATAAAACAGCATACCTATCAACAAAATTGTATGCACGTGCATCGCTTTCAGTGCAATGTTACCTGACTCTGAATTCGCAGTGTAAACTAAACACTGGGACTTTTACTACTAAATGTGTTTTGTGAGCATTCGAAACTTGTTATACGTTTCTCAGGTGGGCACTGTACATTGCCTGCTCTGTCTGCAGTCATCAGCTCGTCAAGAGACCCAATGTGATTGAATTTGCAATTCTATTACCATAGCGATAAGATTAAAAGTTTTTAGGATAAGCTTCCTCAAGGAGTCTGCGCTTTTTAGTGCAGCATTTGTTTTCTGTTTAAGACCATGTAAATCTGTTCCATAAGTAAAATATGGAAAAGAAGTCAGATTATAAATTGACCATGGAGTTTCTTGCTAGTTCGTCTCCTTAGGATTGTACCTTTTGGAAAGAGCAAATTGCTTCCCTAGAAGACTGACCGACAGATTGACACATTTATAGTTAACTACGAGTAGCTTTTGCCCGCGACTCCGTTCGCGTGGATTAGTGACTTCCTGCAGATTTTTGCTATTAAAACTGTCCTATGTCCTTTCCCGAATTCCAAACTATGTCTGTACCAAACACAGAAATAGGTTCAGTAGTTTAGACGTGAAGAAAAGACAGACAGATTAAGAGGGTTACTTTCGCATTTATAATATTACAAAAGAACTTAAGATGGATCTATTTGAAATCAGTATTTTGACCTTAACTTGCGCTTCTCGCGTTCATCTCCGCACCAAACGCTAGGCTCAGAGATGTAGCATAAGTAGCAGATATTCCTTTCATCAGATCTCATATTTCCACATCTATTTAATTACTCGCTTATCAGCCCTAGTCACGGCACTTCTGAATGAGACCCCTTATCTACTTGTTATTATAATTCAAGTACTTAGACACTATTTATAGATGTCCTATCGGTTATTGCATCGCTAATCTTGAGGGTGTTAAGGTTTAAGGTAATGGCTTAGATCAGAATCCTTTTTCTATTTCTTTTTGTCAGGGGAAAATCATCATTTCTTCCGCCCACGGCGAGAGAGAGTGTAAGACTCTTACTGACTAAAAACCCTCGTTCCTTCTCCTGCTCTGGGCCGAGGCCGCGGTGACTCATTGCACTTAACCCGCAACCCCGGCTTAAATCAGAATCCTTCAAGTCTTCTTCGATTTCCATTCAAGAGCAATAATAGAGGCAGTTTGCCAGTACATAGTGCCTAGCTTTTAAGACGTCTTAATCACCAAACAAATTTAGCACCACCAAAAGACTACGAGGTTCCCCAAGAGGCCTCCTCCGCCACTTGGAGAATAGAGACATACCCCCAAGATACCAATCAATTGCTTAACAAAATTTAGCGTGATGTACAATATTGGCCACAATATTCATGTATTAAATATACGCTTAAATTAGATCTCCTCTAGTGTTTTTAGATAGGCTTTCTTCTATCAGTCAGCCCAACGAGGTTTTTTATGTGCTAGGTCGGCAAATGAGCAACGGATTACCTGATGGTAAGCAATCAGCGCTGCCCATGGACACCTGCAACGACGAGGATTAAGGATTTGGAGATTTTAGGAATGAAAAGGGATTGGGGGAGGGGAAAGGTTTGGGCCTCCGGTAAACTCACTCACACGGCGAAACACAATGCTGTGGTTGTTCCACGCCGGTTTTCTGTGAGGCCACAGTATCACTCCGGTCGAACCGACCCATTTGTGCCGAAGCATGGCTCTCCCACACTTACCCCAACTTGCACAACGAGGCCAAATCAAATTTAAATATCTTTTGTATTAAACTTTATGTTTCTGTCAAGGTCTGTTTATTTCTGGGTCTCAGATATATGACAATATGTTGATAACATATTGTTATTCACTTTCCTACTAGGAACAACACATTTTTTATTTGTTTCGTCATCTTATTCAATAAACATCAAGAAAAAGAATTTTTCAATAACCATAAGCTAATTATGAAGTCATGTAACAGATATTCTAATCAAAACAAGCATTGGAATCGATCAAGAACAAAATAAGCTAGAGGAATAACACGTCAAGTTTCTTAGTACAGGGATCAACTCAGGCGCAAGTGAAGTGTCGCACGGCGTCACGTTAACGCATTCCGTCCCCGACCGTCGCGCGGGTTGGACGTCTTGAACGCACGCTAAATAAACAAAAACCGTCTTATCTTGAAATTTTATGTTTTGAAACGCGTCGACGTTACCCGTGGCAGTGTAATAAAAAATAGCGATAAGCTGCAGCACAGGATTGTCAAGTGTTTGTTATATGATAAAGTGGTACGCTTTCGGGACTCTTGCGCCTTTATCGGTCTTCAGCAGCAACTTAAGATAACAAGGTGAGCGTTGATAGCTTTACAATAATTAGTTTGCTATTAGTACTTAGTTCTGGACTTATATTTGTAAGCGTAGCAACTCTAACCAGCTCTATATGGTCCTAATTACTGATTCCCGTTTTCAAAACAATTTACATTAAAAAAAAGTATTATTAACCTATAAATTCTATCGTCAAATATGATTCTTATAATTTTATTTGTTTACGTTTGTAAAGAACATATTTCTATGTATTCAGAAATAATAAATAACAATAGATTTTGCGTATATTAAAACCATATCACTCTTATTATCACAGCCATAGAAAACATAATTGAATGTCAAGTTTTGCGGCTGACCTCGAGAAGGTTAAAGCAAGCACCTTTTCTTCTGTGAAAGTAAAGGCACGTCAAGGTACCCCACGCTTTCAATAGATTTCTAACTCTATAACAAAGCCGCTTAAGTTTAAATCTAAAAGGCAGATAGCAGCAGCTGCAGTTCTATCGTCAGTCCTAGTTTATGAATTAAAAATCTATAGTTTCCTCTTCAAAAGTTTCGTGACCTCTGCAAGGTTAGAGTCCAGTCGATCATCCCATTCTGATTTATTCTCAGCGTGATAGATAGCCTTATAACCTATAACCTTACAAAATAATTCGTCTGAAAATTATTTTTCTTCCTAAACCGCTCTTAACAAGACACTTCTTCAAATATGCATTTGACGATTCTGCCAAAAGTAGAGTATTTTCCCAATATTCATTTACTAAAACCTTTCCAAAAGGGACCAATTATCTTAAAGATAGAAGATCGCGTACAGCACAAACATCTTGGTTTAAAATCTCAAGGTCACCTTTTTAACATTTAGTATGGTCATCATTATCATCAGTGACAAAGTCAGAAGACGTATAGAAGACTGTATAAAAAAGTCATCTTCTAAATTTCTTTTCTTGACCCTTTCTCTATCTTTAACTGCTAGACATGGATATTCTTCAATAACAGGATTGTTGTGAGCTAACATCTACAGGTCTACCAGCTTTTCAGCTTTTTCATAAACTCCTGTGGTGCTGGAGAGCATTCTACACAACTCTCCATCGTCACCATCACCAGTCAGCGACAATCTTATAACTCCTGACTGTTGGTCTTTGGCCTTCTTCTCCATAAGGGCTATTTTTACATACATAGAGTTCACGAGAGACACAAAACACTGGCATGAAATAAAACGTTTGTGTGAATGAGATTACTGGAGGTCCAATCCTTTTACCCACTTCCTCAAATTCCTATCAAAGTTTTGTTGTGGCGCTGATTGCTTACCATCAGGTTGTCCGTAAGCTCGTCTCCCGACCTCCGATAAAAAACGGAGTTTGCTATGATCTACACCTACTCGTATTGGCTCGTATCTTGGCGTTGGTATGTGAAATACAGGTCAGATTAGAACAGGTTCAGGATTATTCTTTTTCAAAATATGAGTACCTAACTAGCTACTCTCGCGCGGTTTCACCCGCTGCTCGGCTCCATTTAGTTGCAGCGTGATGTTTTATAGCCTATGACACTCAGGAACATTGTAGCTATCTATCAAACAGTTTTGGAAATCAGAACAGCGGTTCCAAAGATTACCCCTTCATACAAACTTACTTACGTACCTCTTTATAATATTAGTATAGATTTAGGGTCTGCTTTATAATCTCCAAAGAGCCGCTATGTACCAGATACATTTAAATGCACTGTATGCTACATAACTGGATCGGAATCTTGGTATACGTTTTAGTCACTTCTTGAAATGCCTTCGCCTGTTAACACGAATCCACGTGTTGTATCTAAGTTAAAGAGGTTAGAATACCAAATAACTATTTTTTTCTTTTTTAGAACCAAATATAAACGAGGTTTTTCCTTCCTTATTTAAATTTAACATTTGTTCTTGAATGACTAAAAAGTCTTAAGTATTTTAAAACATATTTTTGCTAATGCAATATAATAAAATCATATTCATATCGGTTCATTCATTCATTAGCAACGGTGCCCTAGACAGACAGACACCTGTCAATATTAAAACACCCCTCTTTTTGCGTTGGGGGTTACAAAAGGTCGTAAAGAGGTTAAACTTTTACAAATAAAGAAAAGAGACCGACTAACCAGCGCTAGCTTTTACTCGCTCACTCATTCAGCCTTACCAAAACAAAAAAAAAAAACATTCGATATCGTTCAAATGTCAACCTCTGTGGAACACATTTGTTTTGGAACGTTCCGTTGCCTGAAATTCGAGCTGTGCTTCGTTCTAAACTCAAACGCGGTAACAACTTGGCGGGAAAAAATGCGTCAGTTTTTTTTTCTAAGTCTATTATTATGATGACAGATACTTCAATGGGGCTGTAAAAACTAAAAGTATATTGATTTAGGAAAAATAATACAGATATCGATGCATAATTTTATGAATTAAATCCACAATGCACTTAAATGCCAAACCGAAATGTTAGAAAGTTGCTGTTAAAATGTAAAATCAGATGTTTTTTTTCAAAACCTCTTGTGTAATCTATACTTTTAAAAACGTATGCTAGAAATATTTATGTTGTCTATAAAAAGACTTATATCTATGTAATATAAACAAAGCGACCTTGAGACAGAAACCAAATTATATTTGTGATTAACCCTATTAAATAAAATCACAAAATAATCCTACTTATAAGTAGACTTAAAAATTCCAAACATAACAATCATTTCAAAAAAGATACCTACCTAAATGCAAACTCTATGTTACGCAAACAATTCCACGAATCCTAAAACTTGAGTCAGCAACTCAGCAATAAAAAAAAATAGCTCGATCAACATTTCCGTTTTGTCGTCGACGTTGTGATAAATAAATCGCGAGTAAAGTCTAAAATGTGCGCCTTAACTTATTGTTACGAAATTTCGTAATTTTAATATT